GCGGAAGCCGGTAAGGGGGAAAGAGGTAATTTTCCTGCTCAGACACGGGCCATCAGGCCACCTCGAGCTGAACCCTGAACATGTGCTGAGCACGTGGCCGGATAGCCAGGCTCCCCACGCCGAGTCTGAGCCCTGGGGCACCATGAGGCTGGGAACAGCTCCATAAGGTACTGATCATGGCAGACAGTCTGACACATCCTCCGCTTTGATAGCTTAATACCCACCTGACAGAACAGGGCACCAAGCCTCTATTTTAATGATGATTAGGAGGCAGATTGACCTGGTGTACAGAGCTCTGGGCTACAAAACTGAGTGATCTCATAGAATAGAATTAGATCCCCTGTTTAACATTCTGGGAGGTGGCCTGAGGAGCTGGAATGTCTCTCGTGTCCAGGGACTGAGTGCCGTGAAAGTGGGGCGGTAGGTTTGAGGAAGCCGTTGATCTTGAGTTTTCTGGAGCTTATCCCAGACGTGTTCGCGTTGAAGTGGAGAAAGTACTGAGCACTTCTTTTGTCTTTGGCGTGGAACCTCTGGAACCTTACAAGAGTTGGGACTAGCAAAATGTTAGATTGCGGCTTCGTTTGGGTTTGCCTTACCAGTGGGATGTGGCAGTGATAGTGCAGCTGCAGGCGAAGCTGTGAGGGTGGCCCAGTGTGAAGTATTAAGGCACCTGTGCCCAGGTTCTTCCTGTGTGGTGCAACAGAAGCACCTTCATAGGGGAACACTTTCGTGCTGTCCTCTCTCGGGGAGAAGGCGGTATCACCTCATCAAGATACTCTTCCTTGTGCTTTGTGAAATCTAAACGCATGTTTTCCTGTTGCATCCTGGCACCTTTTGTGCTAAAGCGAACAAGATCCTGCTGTAACAGCAGCGAATGTCGGGCTTGACGCCGCTGGCTGGGCCGCCCGGGCCCGGTCCCGGTCCCTCCTGCTTCCTGCTGCTGTCGCTGCAGCCCCTCCGGCGAAGGCGCTGGCCTTGCCTGTCCCGCCCGCCCGCGCGAGGGCCGCGGTTGCCGTGGAGACTGGGACCCGAGGACCCGGCAGTCAGCGTGGCACACCGCGGCCTTATCAGCCCCTCGCCAGGCTCCGGGGACGAGGATTAATTCCGTCGCTCGGGGTGGCACGCTGATAAGCTCTTGCGCGGCCATTAACCTCAGGGCTGCCGCCTGTCACTCACTGCTGAAGGGAGCCAAATGAAACACAAAGACCGCTCGGTTCTTCACTGCCGGGGATGTAAAAAAAAAAAAGTCCAGCTACAGGGTCGTTTTTCATGCACACACTCCTGTGCAGAGTCTCAGATCTGTGTGGTTCTTGTGAATTGGCAGATCTCTCTTGTGTGTTTGCATATGTGAGGAAGGGAATACAATATGCCCATACACTATATACACTACAATGCCATACACAATATATGGTACAATGGCCCAGTGTTACGCAGTTTTAATTTGTAGTTGGCCTCTTTTTGTAGGGCGGTACAGATGTTTTCACACCCTTCTTTGAATACCTTAACATTTTAAAAGCTAAATCCTGAATTAAATCCTTGGGATAATAAAAAAAAAAATAAGTTTCCGCCTGTAATTCAGGCAAGGCTGTCCTGGTCATCAGCCGTAGGGTCCTTGTGTTACGCTCGGTGCTCTGAGGCGCTGTGCTGCTGCGTGTACCTTACATTTGTATCCTGTCTTTTACAGAATATTCCAACACTAGGAACGGTTGCTATAACAATGGCTCTCCATAACTGCGATGAGGTAGCTGTGGCCGGATTTGGATACGACATGAACAGCCCCCATGCTCCTCTACACTACTACGAGACTGTGAAGATGTCTGCTATTAAAGAGGTACGAGCTCAAAGGCTACGCGTTGTCTGCCGCGTGTTTCAGCGCAGTTCCTTCTTGTGCTCGTGCACTCCATAAAACACTCCTTCTGTCATTTCCTAGAGAACTCAGATGTGCAAACAGAGATTCACAGCAAGTACAGTTTGACAAACATCACTCCTTAGCAGGGTGCGCTGCTGTAACAGAGCCCTCGGTTGACCATGTGTAGTACAAGTGCCCAGCCTCTTCTGGGCTGCAGGGAGCTGCTATCAGCCAGTTATCTGAGGAACAGTCGGTGGCGTTTCGTCATTCATGTCCTCCTCCCCCCAGGCTTCAGCCTGAGCCAGTCATTCAGCAGCAGCGGTGCTTGATGGCTGAGGAGCTCACACACTGTTGCCCCGGTTTAATGATGTTTTCTTAAGACTCGCGAGTCCTGATGGATTAAAATAACACTGCTCCGCAGCTCAAATGGTGTCTACAGCACCTAATCCCAGTGCTGAAGGACAGGCTAATCGAGGCATGGGTTTTGGGTTACTTTTCAACTTCACGCTGTGAGAGGCTCCTTTAAAAAGCTCTCAGGCCAGGCTTTTCTTTACAAAGTGTGCTGCGAGGGCTGTCGCTACTCTGTTCACTGTTGCCGAGGTGGTTATACCCATCACTATCCCCCCCCGCTCACTGTTAAAAGGATGCACCAGTGTCTGCAGGCAGTGTGGCAGCGAGTGTGTTGTTCATTAAAGGGATTTGTACTTGGCTGTAGGGCTTACATGTAACTAACATAAAAAAAGGCTGTGTTGACAATAGCAAAATAAAAACGTTCAGAAGGTTTTAAATGGCAGGTCTTTTTCTGCGCTGCAGGTTGTCCATTGTAGTATAATCCTGACAAAGCCATTGTATGTAGCCGCTCCTTAGGGGGGAGAACAGGAGTATGATGTACTAAACAATAGAAGATTTTACCCAGGATGTCAGCTTTGATAGTTCTGCTTTTCATGCGTCTTGAGGGAATCTTGGGATTTCCTTAAGCACAAAAACCTCAGATGGAGAACCCCTAAAGCAGAAGAATGGACCCCTGTTTCATCTTGCACGGCTGCAGGAGCACTACAGCTTCCTGTGGTGGCTGGAGATCCCTGGAAGAAGGTTCTCTCCGAATTCGGAATCGGAACTGGTGGAGGTGGCTCAGGCAGCAGGTTCTGAGTTCCTCTGGAGCGAGTCTTCTCTTCTTTTTCCGATCATTGCTTGTGGCTGCTTCCCTTGTTTTCTACAGTCTTTCTTGAAATAACAGAATTTATTATTCGGTTTTCTTTTCTGCTGTGTTCGGAGAGGGTAGTGAGTGACATTCCTTTCCTCTGTTTGATATTTGTTTCTTTTTTTTCCGCCGTTCCAGTTCTCTCTCCAGGAGTTAACTCCAAAAAACGAAAGACTGAACATTGTCAAGGCTGCGGCTCAGCAGGGGGGTTTATCAGTGTTGCGCAGGCTGAGGAGAATGGTAGATCACCTGCGGTCTTTACTGCGTTTAGCTTTTGTCATTTTTTTGAGACCTTTCGTTTCACTGTCATTAATCTTGCCACAAAATAGCCCATGCCAAAAAAACAGCTGAGTCATATGTGATGTATGATATTATCTTCTCTCTGAATGCAAATGGTTATGCGTTGTCTTGGGTTTGTCTTGGTGGAGAGTATTCTAGTGGCCCAGCAGTATTGTTTCGCCAATGGAGATGCTATCCAGTCTTTCAAGGCCTCGGCATCCTAGCTCTTCACAGCCACATGCCTCTCTTGGGTTTCAGTTTGCAGTTCCGTCCGGCTCCTTCTCGACGGGGGTGAATTATTGAGAGCGCAGTAATTGTTTCTGTGTGACCCCGCAGCAGGAATTTCTGGGTGATTAAACCAGGGTTGGATTTTTTTTTTGGGGGGGGATGGAAGTGTAATTGATTCTCAGTGTTGAATGTCATGTTCAGGACAGCAGGAAATGTCTCCCGTCTCTCTTTCCTTGCATGAACTCTCTGCTAATTAGAAAGGCTCGACTGCATGTCTTTTAACTGCTGGAGACGGTCTTCATACAGGAAGGGTGGACAGATCCTGTTTTTTATCTGTGGTTCTTCTGACCAGATAAATGGACGTCATTGCCCAGAGGACACATGGACCGGCACAAATGGAAGACACGC